CGCCGTGCGGTTTCCTTCAGTGGTTCTCGCAGAACCGCAGCTGCTCGCAGACCCGCATGCGAATGTTGGCGTTATCGAAGAGACTAACACGGAACCAGATTGAACAAAAAACCCTGATTCATTTCTTGCCCGGAGATCTGTGATCATGCAGAAAAGCTGCGAGTGACTGCAGACTCCAAACCCCCAGGGTCTGGAGCATCTCCTCTTGCAACTGGGAGGTTGGACATCGCAGCGTTCGAGGCATGTCTCTGGTCAGATGTTCGGGGCAAATTGGATGATGGTTATGGTTCCGGGATATGTTGATACCGTGTATTTATTCTTTCGTCCCCGTCAGTCAAACCAGGTCAGCCGTCAACCAACGTCGGCCGTCAAATCTACGCTTCCCGTTGAGGTGTGGCCAGTGAAAGTCTACAGTACGCCCAATACGCGCTCCACGCTTCCTGTTGATGTGGGTTAAGGATATTTGCAAAATTTAATTAACTTTCATCAATTAATAACCTTTCCAAAAGGAACAAAAGACGCATGTATGACAGGAAATCAAAAACGGCTGGCCCTGCGCCAGAAGATTTTCGGATACAATTACCACAGGCATGGAGGCCGAGCGAATCCGTAGAAACAGGCCTCCCACGGTAACACCAAAGTGACAAGGATAAGCGCATGCACTACACCGCCTTCGAGCTGGACAGCAATCGCAATGTTGTACGTACAACTCACCTGGTGAAGCAGAAATAGAATAGAAAAGTCGGGATCATTACAGGCCATAATCTCTGGGAACGTTGATATCGATGGTTTGGCAATTTCTCGACTATGGGAATCCTTGGGCTTTTTACTCTCGCCTTGATATCTCACCTCACATTCATTACCTCTCCTATGTTACTGCTACAGTCCCTCGTTCTGTTGAGGTATCCATGTACTTAAGACGCTGTTTTGGCTATCAATACCACCAAAACCTGGTCCTGTGTTTACTTTCTGGTCATCTAGTCGTAGTGTACCAAGATAAAAGAAAATGTTCAGATTAAAATGATCCGAGAAAAACAGAAGCAGAGAGACGAAATGAGGGGGAAGAGCAAACAAAACAAGACAAAATAAAGAAAGAGGCAAGCATCGTGATTTTGGACAATTCATATGGGATGCTCGACATGTGTCCATAGAACCTTCCAGAATTGAAACATGAGAATAACGCCAGGAATGACTATAAATAAATCCACCTGATGCAAGGCATTGGTGGATTTTCTATAGTACATGCGTCATTTTTTTGTCTCCCTCGTTGCAATGTTCAATAGTTTACGAAGTTAATCAATTCTGTACATACATTCCTACTGTACACATATATAGAAAGGATTCCTACCACAGATCCCATTTGTTGGGAAGCTGATAACCTTTGCACATGTTTTACAAACAGCATAGAAAGCCGCAACACAGGCAGAGCAAGGTTGGTTTCAATGCCAAGAGAGTGCCACCCACGCAGCGTGAAGGTCCTGCGGTGGTGGGGAACAAGAGAAGAGATATAATGCCAGTCGTCTCGCCCAAAAATAACACAGATTAACTTTTTGCCTGCAGCAACATGTCAGAAGATGGTCGATTCTATCTCCATCGCCAGTCAAAAAAGGGAGAGAAAGAGAGAAACGGTGGAAGAGCAAGGAATACTACAAAAGGTGGGATCCCGAAAGCTCAGGATGGATGGGAAGCAGAGTTGTTATGGTGTTCGCGAGAGAAGATAGTTTGCTAGGAGTTGGGTTGGTTTGGGTTAAGTCGAGACACAGCACCAGCCGCCCATTGGGCAAGCTACGCAAGGAAAACACTAGATCATTTCTGGTTAGTGTTAGCGGGACCTCTCGCCTGCACCTTTCCTGAGCATACATCTTGCTCAACTCCGGGAATGATGGGCCACCAGGTTCGAATTCCCCTCTTTAAGATTGCTCAGCCATGCATGATAGATGGAAAGTAAACAGGAACAACTCGCAGAGTTTGAACGTTCGTGATTTCCATCATCCAAGCCGCAATGTCGAAGCAGCAATGCCCGCCAGCATGCCGGGAAGCCAAAACAAGCTCAACCTATCACGCGGGGCCACAGCACGCGGAAGGTCACATGGGCACTCTGACCATAAGAGCCAGGGTTTTCTGCCCCGCCAAAGTTAGTTCCCCGCCGATGATAAGATGTCCAGCAGATTACATATCTGCTCAGAGATCATCAATTTACCTTCGGCTTCCGATTTGTATGTCTTTAGTCCAATACCAGGAATCTATGTCTCACTTTGTCAGAGATATTTCACCCTTCCGTCACTTTGAGGTAAAGAGCACGCAATATTTTTGTCAGAATAGGAAGACACTTAAAGCTAATGATGTTTGTTCTAAGTCCTGCATTCGATTCGACTCTTTTCTTTTCCTGCACCGCACTACCAGTCATGGCAACCCCTCCTCAAGACAGACACGCCGAATATGTTGACAAAGAGCGCCGAGAGGAATTTTTGAACTGGCTCAGCAAAGCAAGTTTTGTGCAAAGATATGACAACATTTATCATTGTGATGATACTGGACTTGCCAACCATGTGCGGTATCTACTTGAAAACGTTTATGACGAGGTATTGATTCACGAGTCACAGTTCAGAAAATAGTTAAATAACAAGTATTAGGGGTACAAGTTCTCAGCCTGGAGAGCCCGAGCATTATGCCATTTCACTAGCGCGCATGGCTTTGGGGAACTCATTGTTCTTTCTGGAACACCTCGAGTTGGGTCGGGACCTGTGCTTGAACTCGGTTCGATTAACAGCATCACAAACGATGATGCGGTTAGCCCACCAATTGAATGCGTTTACGTTGAAAATGCCAGGAGGAAAAAACAAATTAAGACTATACAGGATGGTGGAAAGAGCTGAATTGATTGTAGAAGCCATCCGCTTCTTGAATGTATTGAGAGTGGATTGATGTATTCTGCGGAATAGAATGTTGTATATTATCGGAATAAATTCTTGAACCCATTAGCTGCTCCATGCTTTGCGCATATCGTGTTGTATCAATCATTGGCACATGGGAAGCCATCAACTGCTGAGCTCCAGAGTCCTGAATGATTTGGCTCTCCATGCTTTGTGAATATCGTGTTGTATCAATCATTGGCACATGGGAAGTCATCAGTTGCTGTACTCCAGAGTCCTGAAGGCCCTCCATATCTTGGGAATGACTCTGGGAAGTCATCGGCTGCTCCCCCTTAGGATCGTGTGGTTGGAAAAAAGTGTAAGAGTTACCGAAGTTCGATATGTCCGCGGCGTTTGTCATAGAAACCAACTCGGTCATATCCTCTGGCTGGGGGGTTGTTGCGATGTCTTGCATCCGTGGTACTGAATCCTGTCCGGACACTGTACATTGTGCCATGTGGTCATCGACGATCGGGCGAGGGACTGCTAACTGAATTAGCCTAGGGACTTCATATAGAAGACTACTTTGTTCTGGCATTGTAACCCGCTGCTCCGATGCGATATACATGTCGCTTGACGTACCTTGAGGACACTCTCTCGTGGTATTTCGCACGCTCACTTCTCTCAACTGCTGCGAGCTAGGTGGATCGGATGTTGGCTGCGTCTGTTGCTGAAATTGTTGAAGCATTCGGGCAGCCTCTCGCTCTTCGAATGAGAGCTCCCTGGTGGGACTTAGTTGTCGACCATTGCACACCTGCTTTGAGAAAGAAGCATTGTGGCACTCATGAGCACCCGAGCCACTGGGACAGCTGTAAGTTGGGGATGTGCTGCGTCTGGTTTCTATTTGGTTTGAAATTCCTGTGTAGTTGGCAGACGTTAGCTGCGAAGGATTGTTGGTTGAAATGTGATCTAAAACATGTTAGGGTCCGCAGAGAAGTGAAGAGATCAGGCTTGAAATCTTACTTTTCGGGTGGAGAGTACCATCATCATCCCAGGTCACGTATTCTCTCACTATGTCTAATAGACTGCTCGGAGCTTCTCTAAGATTGGCATAGGTATAACTTGCGTTGCCGTAAGTCGTTATTCCATCAAGAATGAGTTTCGCTGATGAAATGCACTTTTTAGTCCTGCCTTTGTCGAAATATTTCTGTCGAAGCCAGTTGGTGAAAAACTGCCGCTGTTCATCATTTAAGTGATATTCACACCTAGCGATTTTGTTGGTTAATCGTCCATGTGAAGATGAGGTAAACTCACAAGTTGGGAAACTTCCTTGCCCAGTTCAAACACAATCACTGGGCAACTTCTTTCATCAACTTAATGTAGCC